ATGCACACCTAAGCTTACAATGCCTGGTATTCTCAAATGGTCACTCATCTAGGTACTGAGCAAGCTTGGCATTGCTTAACTTTGGTGATCTTATGAGAACCGGTGTTTTAATGTGACATGGCTGTAAGACTCCCATCACTGAAAAGAGGATGTGGAAATGGGATGGCCATTTTACAAGAGATAATGATCTTCCCACTGCCACATTTGGCAAAAAAAAAAAAAAAAAGAAGAAAAAGAAAAAGGCTAACAATGTGAGTGAGTGGACAGGAAGATAACAAATATATGGAGAGTGGGGTTCAGGATCCTACAACCACATTGTCACAACAAGAGTGACCTCATTCTCTCAGGAATTTTAAAGTAATTTGGTACAATAACATGAACTGATAGTCTTAAACAGAAGATATTTAAAAATTTTGTAAGATTACTGAAATATAAAGAGCCAAATATTTGTACTTAACTATTTGAGGAAAAACTAGTGCAATACCAATAATTCTACATACCTGTGGCACTAGCATAGATAACTCTGGCTTTGGGTAATTTGTTCTGTAATTCCAATACAGTCTGTCCTGTTTTAGTTGGTTTACTTGAACCAACAGGACAAAGATTTTTAGCTCGATGACATTCATCAAAGACAATCTGCAGGTTAAGTTAAGAAATTTACACACACGCAGACAAAAAGAAAAAGAAAAAAAGACATTAAATGAACTTAAACCAAAGAAGATAAATAATTTTAGTGCAGTTTTTACTGATTATTTTGAAATGTCCAAACGGATTTCTTTTTCAGCTTTGATTGGTATCCCAGAACAGAATTTTAAAAGCTTTATTTTTGTAAAATCTATATTTTTCCTCAAATTCCAACAAAAATATAAAAGCTACCAATAACATCTGTAAATATTTTTTTGAGAATGTACTGATATGTTTCTGATAAAACAATTTCATAGTTTTAATACCAAATAATCCAAGAGAACTTGAGTCTTGAATAGATAACCCATGCTAATGCAAGTTATTTTAAAGAATATTTGTAATATAGCAACTTACTAAGTGTAGCTCAGATGTGACACAAGGTTGCCAGTATGGGGAACCCAATGAGGAATGGACTCAGAAAGCAATAAAGATCGATTTAGTGAAACAAGCTTGCTACAAATTACATCACATCAAAATGCCTGTATATTTGTAATATATATTCATACATTATATTAAACAATATAGAAAATATAATACTCTGCCTTGTCAATGCCGGACTGAAAAGGTTTATAAACACCAAAAGATGATTGTGCTACAGTGCATCTTTGTACTGTGTTTTGGGATGAATTGATCCTCCATATCTTTTAGTAACCCTTAGGTCTTAGTATTATTGGTGGGTGAAATAAGTAAATAAAAAAGAAAAAGGATACAACTCCATCAAAATCTTCACCACACCATCTCATAAGTTGTTTCAAGCGGGTTTTGTATTTCCCATCTGACTGGCTTTCACCAATTAATGAAGAGTAAGTGGCAAAAATGACTCCCTTTTTAACACTGCCGTTTTCTTTAGAAGAGATCTTGGCATATTTGAACTAAAAAGAGAAAATTGCAATCATGATAGACACATAATATCATTAGTATTACATGAAGAAGGAAAATAAAAGAGAGAGAGAGAGAGAGAGGTGCTGGAGTGGATTGAGAGAGAGAGGTGCTGGAGTGGATTGAGAGAGAGAGGTGCTGGAGTGGATTGAGAGAGAGAGGTGCTGGAGTGGATTGAGAGAGAGAGGTGCTGGAGTGGATTGAGAGAGAGAGAGAGAGAGGTGCTGGAGTGGATTGGATTGGAGAGAGAGAGGTGCTGGAGTGGATTGAGTGGAGAGAGAGAGGTGCTGGAGTGGATTGAGAGAGAGAGAGAGAGAGAGAGAGAGAGGTGCTGGAGTGGATTGAGAAAATGGCAGAATCTCTCTTGCCTTTTTAACTTGAATGCAATCAGATTTTTACAGTGTATTTTTAGTAACCAATTTTCCTTTTGTTATTTATTAATTGCGTTCCCTACAACCATCACATTCATTTACCAATATCATTTAATTCTATACAAGAGCAATGGTTTTCAATTATATAACAGCAATCAAACAACTCAAAATACACTTACTTTATTCAAGGCATGGACCTCTATTTTCCCTGCCCCAATATCTTTGAGATCTCGCTCAGCATCAACTTTCAAGTCATTAGAAACACTGAACCTACATAAAAAAAAAAAGAAAAAAAAAAAAAAAAAAGAAATAATTATGAATACATACATATATGTATGTGTGTGTGAAGATGGAATTAGATTTAAGAAAATATGGAATAAAAAGTTTTAATACATACCATAAGGCCCGTTTTCGTCCCTGTAGGTAATTCTCAAAAATGATACCAGCTACCGTTCGGCCCTTTCCCACACCAGCACCATCCCCTAACAAACAGAAATAGAAGCAATAAAAAGATTTTTCAAATGGAAAGAGAAAGTGTTATCCTCAATGAGTACACATGTTTGAGTTGCTATCTTGTTTTATTTTATTTTTCTTAAACAGTGAAATTGAACACAGCCAAATTAGATCAAAAAGTCCTAGTAAATAAAGACCGTGCCTACCAACAGGAACCTGTATCCCCTTTTCCATCAGATAAACCATTCCTATACCCAAAATGTGCCATTACAAATTTAGCCACAAGAGACCACATCTTGGTAAAGCAAGGTTCAAATTCACTAGTTAAAAGAATGCACATCTTATTTGAACTTTTACAAATCTATATCTGCTAGCTTCATTTACGTATTATAAACAATTAAAAAAAAAAAAAAAAAAAAAAAATTCACGCTTTACCTCAAGAGAAATCATTTGTTTTGGCTTTTCACCACTGCTCTTTACATTTACTTTCCATGGTGTCACTAAAGGATTTTTACAAAATAATAGAGGAAAGGTACAACACAAGAGATCCTTCCCGTATTCTGTGAGTGGAAATACTCTCAAAACTTGGCACTAGCTGCACCAGCTAGCAGATGCTTAAATGAAACTTGCTCATATCTCAAGGTTAAAAAAGGCCAAACTCCAACTCATGTCTCCAAGAACTTTTATGTTGGTATGCTTCTATTTCAAAGCATTACATATATATAAAAATTTTTTCAACAACATTTACTCACTTTCATTTATTAGACATCAATTTATGTTACTTAGTGTCCTCCATAATTTACCTTGACTTTTCAGTTAACCTGATGTATATTTATGAGCGTGTCTTAATTTGAAAAATTAATTTCATTTTCCTTCATGAATTCTTGTAAAATAAAATTCCTCCCATTTGCCTTGATAAAGTCCACCAGAGGATGAAATGCATTGGTTTAGATAGGTTTTCCATTTGTTTTTATATATATATATATATATTTGAAAAGGATATTTTAAAATCTAACATTATATATATGGAAAAGAAAAAAAGGTGACACTAACCAATAAGGAATCCAGCCCTTTCACCACTTGGCATGATGGTATCATGACGCTGACATGCATATGTGATGGATTCCAACTGCAAGGCTGAGAGTTGGCCTGAGTCAATGGTACCTTCAGGCAAATTCAAAGTGTATCTAACATTTGGTGGTTCCACACTTGATAATGAACTTGATTCTACAACAGCATCAGGATGTTTTTCTCCAATGCGCACTGAAATAGAAATTATGATCACAATGATAAATGCTTACAACAAAGCTGGGTTTGATAAGAAATATTTTGGGTTTTATCTACTTGGTTGATCCCAACCACCCATCACCTTTTACTTAATTTGTATTTTAATGGTGCCCTGCCTTTCAATAGTTTTGTTGCTTAACCCAATTAGAAATTTTGAGAGAAGGAAGTGGGCCATGAGCACTGGTGGGGAGCCATGTTTTTACAAATCACAGTTTTGTTCTTGAACACTCCAAACTGTAGCCCAGTGGGCAGCTGATTATTCCTTTCAATTGTTAATAACTTTGTAACAGTGCCATTTTCTTCTGATTGGCAGGTTTTCTCTTTTTTCAGCTGGATCTCACCCAATGTAGAGGAAACAGCGGATTGAATTCTCACCCTGACCAACAAAAATCCACAGCTTGTAAATTCCTCATGAGTAAGCACCACAACCATGTCCATTAATTGATACATCACGGTGAAGCAAAATTTACAGCGCCAAGCACAGACCACATTCACCCAAGCGCACCCCCCACCCTATACGATACTCAAGGCCCAGACAGGTGTGCTGTATCTAGGGATCAGCACAAGTAATGGGCAATATTTGATGCAGTGACCATGACATTACAATATTATATCTTCACATTATATATGGCCTGTTCTGAATGTATGGAAACATTGGGTGCACTTTGGCATACATTAATTTACTTGAAATCAAATTATTTATCTCCACCTCCCAATATAATGCATATCTTGGTGCAAACATCTTAATTGAGAAGTGAAGCCTCTTGGTCAGGCCAAGAATTTTTCAAGGCTCTAACCCTTGCTTGAGAAAATTAATTCTAAATAATGTAAATGTGATTCAAGTGATGAAAAAAAAAAAAAAAAAAAATAGTGGGGGAGTGAGTTACTTTGTTTTGCTATCATCTTAGAAAACTGCAGCTACATTCCAATCTAAGATAATTTCTTTTATTTAAACCAAAACTCAAGATTAAAAACAATCCTTACATTTTGTGGGCATATATTCAGAATATGTTTCAGCTTGCCCAAGTTCTTCAATCTCTTCTTCTACCTCCTCTTCATCTTCAGGTATGTGATGGTGATGTACACGGTGGGGTATACTGATGCCTGGAGCCTACCAAATTGCCAAATGTGGAAAAAGGTTAAGACAAAAAAAAAAAAAAAAAAGAAGAAGAAGAAAACAGCCTAAATCTTTCAATCAAGAAGAAACCTACCTTAATCTTAATGTCAAATGGATCAATTACTTTTGGGTTTTAAAATCATTAATCAAGTTAAAAGGTTCTTATACTTGAATGTCAAAAAGCTGTTCAACCAAAGAGATTGATTGATTTGTTTTATTTTTCTTTTATGACTTATGAACCCTTTTTGGATTATTTAAAGCTGCAACAGTTAAGATTGTAGGAGGTTGCTTACAAAAACTGATAAAGTATGTACTCAAAAAGCAAAATTAAACGGGTTTTTGTTTTTTAAATAAATTTTACAAGCATATGAAAGTAGTAGGTTTTTTTTAAAGTTGAGTGTCTATTTTAACATGGTTTTGATTCATGAAATAATTAAAAATTGAATATATCTTTTTGCTTGAGTTTTCTTTCACTATTGAAAAGTTAACTTGATATCAATATTTTAGAAAATGGAAGACAAGTAGACAAATGGAAAAAAGCTTAATTTTGAATAAATCAGAATAAATCACTTGATAAATTCAATGCAGCCATCAAACAATTTTTTTTTTTTTACACACATACTCAGAAATAAATTTATACTATTTATTGTTAAAGACAGATTTATGTAAAATTTGAACTGTGCACATGGAAGTTGAAAATAATTACAGAATTAAAATGTGTATTCAAAATCATATTAAGATTTTATTAAACAAACTAATCTTGAAAATGAAATTTAGTTAAAATGTTTCAAGTCTTCTTATATGAAAAATAAATTTTAAAGATAAGAAAGAAAGAAAGAAAAAGAAAATTGCTTTTATTCTTATTTTTTCTGTGCACCCCATGTTTTTAATCAAACAGATTTAAGAGTGACTAAGGGATATGGAATAATTAGGTAAATGCCATGTGAACATTTTAATGGTCACCATATGAATAATTATCTGATAAAATTCAACACTTGTGAAAAGTTTAAATACAAACCCAAGTTTGGAATTCTTTTGGAGTCTTCATGTAGCAATATACATACCCACAATTGAAGGCACACTGAATGATGTTAGGCCTATTTTAAAATCCAAGTGCACAGTTGATAGCAAGGAAATTAAATGAAATTTAATCTTTTAATTTCATAATTCCCATAAAACTTTTTTTCAGTACTATTTATATAAGAAAAACAATGAAGGCTGATTAATAACAGAATCTTTATAAAGACAATGACTGAAATTTGGATGAGGACTGAAACATTTTGCTAAGGCAAAAACAACTATCTTAAATTTACAAAATCTCTAAATAATAACAAAACACATTTTGTGTACTATGAATAAAATCAATTTTTCAAACATGACATTCATAGAAATCTAAATAAGGTGCATTTAAAAGAAAACATTTAAAGTCAAATAGTAAAGAAAGATTTTTCTGTGAACGATGAAATGCAGAATTTGTTAAAAGCAAGACATTGCCACCTATCAGCCATCAAGGCAGATCTTGGCACAGCACAAAAACTACAGAGTGTGACAGTTTCCAACCAGCTCAAGTAGGACCTGGCATATGACCTGACCTGACCTGGCACAAGTTAGGGAAGGACCTGGCACAACATGAGACTGAATCAAGGGTGTTACCCACAAACTTTTAAGTAAAATAAACCTCTTCCTTTTAATTTGAAAATTTCCGTATTGAACAATTTTGGAAAAAAAAAAAAAAAAAAAAAAATAAATAAATCGAATGCATTTATGTATTGAAAGGCATTTTGTGGAGAAAAAAAAAAAAAAACCCTAAAAATTTTCAAATTGAGTGTCAAAATTTTTGGTTAATAAAGCAAAACTTGAAGAGGTTAGCAGGTGGGAAAAAAATGAGAAACCCGAAAGTCCAAAAAAGCATGGCCTCAAAAATTAAGATTTAAAAAGAAAAGAAATTAAACAAAAAAAAAAAAAAAAAAAAAAAAAAGATAAATAAAATGGAAAATGTTTGAGATATATATATATATATATATATATATATATATGGTATATATAAGAATTATTAACTCACTGTGTATGAATTGATGGTTTTCAACTTTACATCTTCTTGAGACCATAATCGGGACAAGTCTTTGTTTGTGATAGGCCCACGAAACCCTGTGCCATTTGCCAGTGTGGTAGACAGGACATTGTTCACATGGTTTGTTTTAATGTTAGCCACCTTGGTTTTGATGATACTAGTTACCTGCGGCGAGTTGCCAGCCAAAGTTGTCTGAGAAACATTTTTCACTATGTTTGGAACAACTGTTGGCTTTAATTTGCCGGAGGTTATGGTGTTCACTTTTATATTGCTGCCAGATAGTCCCAGCTGGCTGAGAAGCTGCAGTGATTTGCCTGCATTGACCTCTGTCAGCAGAGGACTGCTACGACCAGTGCTACTTGTGGTACTAATGTAGATTTTTTGACCCGCAAAGGAAGTGGGGAGGCCACTTTGTGAACCAACATTTTTGGGAGTGAGTGAGATGATTTTGCTGCCAGGTTGACCAAGTCCTGCATTCTGGAGGTAAGAGTTGTTGGGACCAGTAATGTGAAGCAGCTGGCTACTACCACCAGATGATTTGACCACACGAATTACAGGAGAATTTGTATTGCTAAGGCTGTGATTGGTTGGTTGCAAGACTACACGTGGTCGGATCTGCAAAGATAAAAAGAAAGAAAGAAAAAAAAAAAAAAAAAAAGGGGGGAGAAAAAGCATATAAATTAGAATATAGAGAAAAAAAAATCCAAATTAATTTTTAACTTCTAGGCTAATACTATGTCTAATATCCTGCGCTTAATTTAAAATAACTTCAGAGTATTTAGTAAAATTAATTTTATCATGCAATAGATGTTTATCTGAATTGTTGAAAGCAAATCATTTGAAATTAAATAGACACAGTAAAACTCAAGGGACAAGATTAGTTTATGACAACTGGTTAGGGTTTTTAGGGACAATGTTGGAATGATACAAAATATTTCTTAAAAGCAAAAAAACTTCACACCTATAGTGGCAGGTGTGTTAAATAAACTGAACAAAGCTTAAGTGCTTCTTTTTAAGCCTATGCTTGAAACCTGAATGAAAGAAAGTGCATAAATTTAGATATTTATATAAATATGAAAGACAATAACTGTAAGAAAGTTTTCTTTACATAAAACAAGAAAATTATAGTTTTTGCCAATTTTTGGATTAAAAAAAAATTGTATGAAGCATTAAGTTACATTTGTTTTGCTTATAATAAACTCAATTTAAAAAGTGTAAACAAACATAGAAAATTCTACTTAAGTAATTTTAAACTAAAATTTCTTTTGATAAAAACTTGATAAATTTTTTTAGTTTATTAACCCTTTGCAGGTTAAAACCAGAAAATATTTTTAGTAAATTTTTTTTTTTTTTTTTAATTTTTTTTTTTTTTATTAGATATAATTATGGTTTTAGTGATACAAATCTTACTAATTAACCCATATATGGAAGGAGAAGAGGTGGATTCATACCTTTCCAAGAGTATTTGCATGTAAGTGAATTTAATCCAATGGAAATTGGAACTGCTTTCTGATTAACAATTCTGAGCCATTATTACACCACCTGCACACACAAGCTTACAGCAATGGTATTCCCAGGTGGCTACTGATTTAGAGACTAAACAGGCTCTACATGGATTAACTTTGGTGATTATACAAGATCCAGTGTTTCAATGTGATGTGGCCATAAACCAGAAATTATTAAAGATTGAATAAATTGAAATAAATATTTACTGAAAACTAAGTGTTTTTATTATACTACTAAATATAGATTAAAAAAAGAAAAAGGCTAATATGAACCTTCATGACCCCCCCAAAAAAAACCCTGGAATGTCAAAAGGACAGTTTTTCCCATGACACTTATGTTAATTATCTTCACTTTTTGGTAATATTTATTGTTTTAAAAAGTGATGATTACAATTCTAATAAAGCCTAAACACATGAAAGTGAATTTGTACATTTTTTTTGTTCTCGAGAATTTACAAAAATATTAAACACTATTTATTACATTGTTTATTTACAACATTCTAAAAAAAAAAAAAAAAAAAATTTAGAACTAATGAAATGCAATATTATTAATGCCGAGGAGAGAATGTTTAAAAGAAAAAAAAAAGGAAAATATATAAATGTCTTTAAATAAAAATAAAAATTGTTACATTGTCATTTTGTATCATGAACTGAGTTTAAAAGAAACCCAACAAGTTTATGGGCTGTCTTGTTATAACTAAAATTTTTCTCCGGCATTCAAGTGATTTTAACATTTAGGAGAGAAAAAAAAAAAAAAAAAAAAAAAAAAAAAACAAACAACATATCTGCTCACCTGGTTTGATGCAATAACCTTTGGTTGCTGCTGCTGATGTTGCACTGTAACAGATGGTTGTGTGGCGACGGGGGTGTATACATTGTTTGGGGTAACACTAATGAAGCCATTTGCAGTGGTTGATGATGTTATAGCAGTCTACAGAAGAAAGAAAGAAAAAGGTGTAATGGGTTCAGATCTAGAGAACAAAGCAAATACAGTTTTATAAATGTTTACAATCAGAACATGTTTAGAAATGTTTTCAAACCTCAGCTTCAACAAGAACATCTTGATTAATTAATCCCACATAATCATCAAACTGGGAAATTGTTAAGTTTCTAAATATCTGTTATCTTCCAGTGTCGGTATATAATTTTCATTATCAGCTTAGAACCTTCCCAATAAAACAAGATAAGCACAGAGCATTGGAATGATGCTTGTATTACTTTTAGAGATAAGTACCTACATTTTTATGAGTATTTAATTTAATTTCAGCATTGTTCCAATAAGTTAAGCACTTCCTACAAGTGTTGATTTATATTGTATTAATGACCAACAGGAAGTGTGTTCTTTTGGAGCTTAAGAATCATAAAAACGACACTCAAATGTACAAATTATGAGTTTAGAAAAAAAGGTATTGTGAATGTTCAAACATACCAAAGGCAGTTTTTAAAGTTGAGTGCTACAGACTTCATTGAACTATGCTCCTTTTCTTTTCTATTTTTGCAAGTGCACATAGCATTAACAATTTTGTGGAGGTAACAATGATTTTCCTCCTGGTACATGTTCTAGTATTTACCGCACAGCTTTACAAGATGGATACATACCTTTTCGCAAGGGTATTTGCACATAAGTGAATGTAATGAACCTGACTGGAATTCAAACTTGGCTCTCCGATTTCTCATTCTCAAGCCGTTATTGATTACAACACTTGCACATTTACCTATGTCCTGAAGGGACATGACTAATTAAAGAAAAGAAATGACTTGAGAATAGTCCATGGCATACAATATAGGGAATTGATCAACATACTAAAAATATTTAATTTGAACCAGTTTTATTATGCTAGTTGCTTTGATGTGTGCCTTTCACATAAGTGAACAAAAGCAACTGGTCCATAGATTCAGGCATGATTTATAACTTAAATGTAACTAAAATATTCCATTTTTGAAAAACAGTGATAGTAAATGAAGAGTGGAATGGAATAGAAGAGATTGGGAATAGCAAGCAAAACAAAGCAGCACTAACAAATATCAATTTTTACCCAAGGAAAGTTCATTTGGTGGGATAAGCTCATTTCCAATGAAGCCAATGATTTAGTTGAACAGGTATTACTCTCAGTCCCAGCCAAAACCAATTGGAATTAGCAGAAAGAGTATAATAGTCTTTGACAGACCTTGTTTCTTTTGTGACCAGGCTAAATTTATAAATGCTTAGTTGTGAAACTTACTCATTTGCTGTAGTCAGCTGATACAGCATCTTTGGATTACCAAATTCTCTTAATGGAAAAAAAAAAAAAATAAAAAATAAAAAAAAATAATAAATAAAATAAAAATCTTTAAGATTAATTGTTGTGAGGACACAATTAAGTTGCATGAAGGATGGCAGATTAAATCCAAATGGTAAATATGCAGTTCAACAAACTTTTTGGCCAACCAATAAGCATATACATCACATAGGGAGAATTATCTAAGATGTATGTTTTTTTTAACGGAGGTGTGTGTGTGTGTGTGTGTGTGTGCGCGCGCACATGCGCATGCATGCATAAAGCATCCAAAGGGTGTAAAACAAAAGGCAAGTTAAAACTGACTTACTGGTTGAGAGTCTGTGAATGTCTCATTTGTGAGGAAAGAATCATTGGTTTCATCAAAACTTGCCAAATCTCCAATTCCTGATTCACTCAAGGCTGCTGACAAAAGATCCTGAGGCATCTGTCAGGTCAGAAAGAGAGCAAGGAAAAAAAAAAAAAAAAAAAAAAAATGAAAAAAAAAAAAAATGTTCTACATAAATACCAATTAAGTTCAATATCAACTTCAGTTTTGAAATTGAAAGCAATTAAAAATTAACAAATTTAAAAACAAGAAACCTTGTACACAAGAGATCCTGTGACCCTTGAAACGCTCATAATTGAACTTGATTTTTGTTCAAGAACATGAATATATAAGAACTTATTTGGATTGTTATTGACAGGCTATATTTTCAAATGGCCTGTCAATGTTTAATCATGTTATTTGTTGACATTAGAAACATTTATATAGAGAGAAGGGAAAGAAGATAAAGATAGTTTATAATTTTGTTTCATGTGTATTTGAGCATAATGTAATTTTTAAAAATATTATAAGACAAGCAAAACACATGTAGCTTTATCCCTTTCTACTGGACATTAAGTAAATTCATAAATATTCTTGTACATTTTCACTCTAAAATGTTAATTTACTGTTGCATCATTTTCTTACCATTACAGATACTGAGATAATGTATTGTTAGGTTTTGCTATGATACAAGAACAACCAGAAATCATTTCCCTAACTTGAATCATCTATCAAAAGTATAACAATTGGGCGCATCACTAGTGGGGTGGGGTGGAAGGTAAAAAAAAAAAAAAAAAAGCCTGAAGATTGGAACATGCTCTCTTGGACAAGGATGGATAGAACTGGCAGCTTTCAAATTGACACAGGAAATGGAGAAAAAAAAAAAAAAATGAAAAAAGAAGCATGCCATGCTTGTGTCACATGCCACCAATCATTGAAACTTCTTGAAAGTGGACAGGTGAAAAGGTGGAATGATAAGTGGCTCTGTGCAGATCACAGAGATGCACACCAAGTTTGTGTTATCTGTAATAGTCCAGAGAGGGTGATGAGCACCCCATTTCTTGCACTAAAGGAAGAGCTGTATATGTTCCATTAGAATACTCCTTTCCACATACCAAAGATTAAAAAAAAAAAAAAAAAAAAAAAACAAAAAAAAAAAACCTCAAAGCAACCTTCTCTCATGATTCAAATCCCCTGGGACATTGAGAGGAAGACCAAACAGTAATATTTTCTTACTATTTGATGAATAATATGTATTTGAGTAAACACAAATACCACAGCTGTATATTATCTAAGAAATGAAGTTTTTAAAAAAACCAAAAGCAATTGATAGATTTTTTTGTTCTTTTAGCAAAATTAACATTTACACAAAACATAGAACTTCAAAAAACAAACAAGAAAAACAGTATCAGCTCATAACACCTGAAAATAGACATCCCAAACTTCCCTAGTTGACACTACAGAAACAGGTCAAAAAAGTGCAATTTCATTCACTTTCAACTGCTTCTATGTCACTTATTTTTTTTAAGGCTATTTAGATAAATATAAAATATCTTTTCTTTTTCTAAAAATTACATTCCTCCTCATATTGTGATTAGTTTTTATTTCATGTCTGTTTAAATTATGTCATTATTTCAACAGGTATCTTTTTCTGCAGTTTCAAATTTGTTGCCTTCAGAATTGTGTCTTTCTACACATCAAAATTGACTAATCTTTAAGAAAAATGTGTGCCTGCCAATTTGTTGGGCTTAACCATTACCACACCACAGGCAACAATAGTCGCCATAGAATTCTCTCCCTTTGCTATTCTAGGCGCATTCTGCCATCTGAGATGGTTTCTATAAATAAACACTTGTCAACTGTTATTTACCATATTTTAAGCTGGAAATTGCCTACTACTTCTTTGGAACAAGGTTAAACTTCTGTTTTTCAATGCCATTGAACTCTTCTAGACTCTACGGGAGAGTGTAACATTGATTAAACCCATGTTAATTTTTTTGCAAACAAAAATGGCCACAAAGCCTTTATTCAGGAGTTTTTCTTTGATTAGGATTCTGATGATTTTGAAGGCTTTACTCGAGTGGATATTGATGGTGAGGTGGTAGGAGATGATAATTATGCTAGTGATGTGGAGGAAAGCGACAGTGACCACTATCATCCATGCCGGAGTAATTTTATGGAAGCTACTGGCAACCATCAATATATCTGATGGTCTTTCTGAAAGTGAATTATTTTGTCTATTTTTAAACAACGCAATAAGAACTTTATTCATCAACGAGACAAATAAATATGAATCAGGTGAAAGAAAGAGCAAACAAATGCTGGTGTCTTCTCATATGTAAACACGGGGGAGACACGTCACATTTTGTCAAAATAAAAGCCTTTTTAGCAATTTCGTTTCTTATTGCAACCCCAGATCCCCGCAAGGAGTAATAAAAGTTAAAGTACGATAAATTATTTATGTATTTTTTTTAATGTATTTGTTTTTTATTTTGCGTTTCAATTTTTTGCTTTCAACATCAAAACATACATGCAAAACGTAATGCATTACATCAAAATATTACTCATTCATTCTTTTATTAAGTGTACAAAAATGAAAATTTATATGCACAATACAAAGAAAAGTTATAACAATTTTAAAACAGTAGATGTTCATGTTTTTGCACAAAAAGAAAAAAATAGTGGAACAATTCTAGAAAGAAATTAGTGTGGTAAAGGTTAAGACAGGGTTTGAAGATGACTTTAACAAAAGATTTCTAAGTTGAAAACTTTAACTGGATGAAACACCAAAGAAATTCCACAAAAAAATCAGAGTGGGCTGTGATGAAAAAAAGATTTCCATAACGGTCTATCCAAGGACATTACAAAATATGAGATTTGAAGAAATTGCCAACATCGTACAAGCAAAACATACATCCTAAAAAGAAATTGGTCATAGCTGAGAGGACGAAGTTCCTTGAAATCAGGCAAAACCTGGATGAAACCATTAGACAGTATATTCACAGCCTAAAAAAAGGCATTGAGATACTGTGAATATGAAAAGTTGTGTAAAGGACTGATGTCTATAGAAGAGGAATTAATACAGTTAAGGCTAATTGAAGGACTGTATGATGTCTCAAATAAACACAAAATTTTGGGACAGCTTCAAGTCCAGAACATGAATATTGAAACAAGTTTTGAATTTTTACAGAGCTAGAGAGATTTAATACCACTAAGACTAAAATTAAGACATACAGTACCACAGAGAGTTTATGTAAATGTTGTTTTTGTGACAAAGAACACAGGATGAACAAGTATAAATGCCCAGCTTTTGGAAAGATGTGTTTTAAGAAAAACCATTTCCAGTCAGTTTCATGGAAATATAAAAAAAAAAACAGTAGAAATGGAGAAGATAGATCCTGCAATGGGAAATACTGAAATTTATGAAGTAAAAGTACAAGATAGGAATAGAGAAAGGGTAAAAATAAATGAAATATCTGTACTAATGCAAGTGGGTATGGGTAGTGATGTAACATTAATACCCAAGAATTTTGGGGACAAAATGGGAAGATCAAAATTAAGGAGGACCAATCTGCAATTGAAACAATTTGATGGGTCAGTCATTAAAACACTTGGATACTTTGAGGCAGTGTTTGAGTCTAAGACTCGATTCAAGGTAATACCAATCATATTTGTGAAGTGTGTAAAAGATCATGGTCTCCTAGGGGGTTGACATATTAAGAATAGACACCTCAAAGTTAGTTAATTGCATGAAATTAAAAGAACCTGAGATTAAACATTTAAAGGATTACAAGGAGAGTATTTGGCTCAAAGAGAATAGCCAACCAGTATATTTTCAATCTCATAAAATTCCAATTCACCTTCTGCTAGTGATTATGGTGGAACTTAATAATTTGACTGAACAAGGAATATTGGAGAAGGTCATCTATGGTGGTAGCAATGGGCTTCCCCAATCATGGCCATATGCAAAAACCAATGGAGTTTTAAGAATTTGTGGTGACTACAAAGTTGGTGTAAATCAAAAGATATGTTTGGACTCCTTCCCATTGCCAAATATTCAAACAGCCTGTCTTAAGTTTGCTGGCATGAAATTTTTTGCCAAGTATAATCAGATTAAAATTGACGAACATTTTCAAGAAGTTACAATAAACATTCCTATAGGTCTTCTAAGGTGGACTCATCTGCCATTTGGAATTAAAACATCTACCCATATATTCCAAAAGGAGTCAAAAAAACATCATTGTCTATCAGGATAACATTGGTATTGGGGCTCATACCGAGGAGGAGGAGGAGCTGAAGATTAAAATGGAACAGATTCTGAGCAGAGTAATGCAGGCATGACAAATCAAGATAAATGTAAATTTAATTGTGACAGAATTTCATACTTAGGGGATCAAATATCTAAAGATGGAATCTCACCAGATGACAGATTTATTAGCAAAATATCAGAAATAAGCACACCAAAAAAATAACTTAAGAATCTTGGGTGTGACTAACTTTTATAATAAATATATACCTCCATATACCGACACGATTGAACCTTTTGTGAACTTTAGAACGAATAATAAATTTCAGTGGACTGAAAGACAGAAGGGACCTTTAAGAAGATAAAGGAAGCACTTAGAAACAAGACAGTAGTTAAGGTACTTGACAAAAGACCCCACACTAACTATTGATGATAGCGAACATACCACAGTAGTGATGTTATCACAAGTGGGACATCCTATTATGCACTTGTCCAGAAAGTTGACAGCAGTTAGAATTATTCTAACATTAAAAAGAAGTGCTGGCAATTGTCTGGAGTACTGAAAGGAAGTGCAATTTGTCTGTGTTAGAAATTTCTACTAAAGTTGGACCACAAACCCTTAGAGTTCATTTTTCAACCCAAGGTAAAAATTGCCTAAAGTCATCTAGAATTTTGAGGTGGGGGCAATTAAGCTTATGACATTATGTATAGTAAAGGAAATGCCATTCCACATGTCGACATATTGTCAAGATTGAATTTTAATACTCAGAATGTTGAAACAAAGGACAGTTGTGAGGACAGAATTTTGCACCGAATAGAGAGATGTGTTATCCTTCAGTTGGCCCTATACTTAATAGAATAATATATGGAGTTA